ACATTGAAAAAAGGGAACGCCCCCCCCCCCCCCCCCCCCCCCCCTGCTTTTCCTTGTCCAGCCGGTGCTGTTAGCTTCGTGCACATCGTCAAGGCTGCGGAGCCCCTCTTCACTGCCCTTTTCAGGTACAGTGCCCTCTTTTAGTGCTTGCGTCTGGTGTCTTTGTGAAGTAGTTGCCCTGCTGGTTGTTGTTTGTTGCGCTTGGATTACCTGCTGTGCTCAGAAAAACAAACGTGGTACCGTTGTGTAGTGCGTTGGCGTGTCGCCCTCTCTGTGTTTCGGGGACCAAGGACGGACCCGATCGATCAAACACTGGCGTCTGGATTCACCCATATGGGCTCGCGTCTGTCTCAACTCTCTTCTGCCGTTGCCGAACCATATATTATAGTGTTTTCGGTATGTTGGGTGTACTACGCCCATTGCTGTCTCCGAAACTAATCATGTGGCACTTGTCACATGCTGCCCTCTCCGGTCGACACCCCCCCCCGCGCATGGTGTTTCCGACACGACACTACAGCGCCGTCTTCCTGGGACAGATCTTCTCCCCCCTGGTGTACCTGACGCTTGTGCCCGTGGTGGCCGGTGTGGCGCTCGCCTCCCTCAAGGAGCTCGACTTCAAGGTAATGGGTGTGTGTCCCTTCACGCTCGCGCCGGGAGAGAGGCAACGACCGATAGCAGTAGCTGGGTCGTTGTCGTTGTCGTCGTCGTCCCGTACGGGCTGGGTCGTGGTGTAGCGTGTAGGTGACGGGAACGGTGCTCCAATGTAGCGGAGATTTTTTGTGAATGGTATATTGTAGGGAATTGGAGAGGGTGGGGAACATGCCTTCACGGTCCTGAGGTTCCCCCCTGCGCACCTTAGCGTCCCACCTCACCTCCAACTCTTGCATTCGATAACTAACACGAGAGCCCCCCCCCCCTCCCCCCCCCCACCCCCACCTCCAACTGCAAACAGTGGGCCGCCCTCGGCGGAGCCATGGGCTCCAACCTCGCCGCGTCCACCCGCGCCATCCTCTCGAAGCGCTCGATGGGCATGGACATGGGCAAGAACATGAGCCCCGCCAACCTGTACGCCGTCCTGACCATCATGGCCTCGGCGATGCTCCTGCCGCTGTCCGCCATGGTGGAGGGCCCCAAGATCAAGGAGCTGTGGGAGAGCACCGTCACCACGCCCGAGAAGGGGTAGGTCGTCTCTTTTTTTTTTCTCTTTCTCTCTGTGTAATTCTCTGTGTTTCTATCTTGAATTCTCTCTGTGTAGGTTTTTCTCTCTCAGTGTGTGTGTTTTGGTGTTGCATCGACCGCGTTAACTGGCGGACCAATACAACTCCGTCAGTTTCAGCGCGTTACCCTAGTATGAGTGTGTTTTAAGAGTGCTTGTAGTACTCCACCTTGCTGAAAAAAGCGTTTTGTCTGGGCTTGATGGCTGACTGCGCATGTGTGCTCACGCTAAAAGCGCGTTCCCTCTACCCTCTCGCTCTACGCTCGCGCATGTGCTACTTTACGCGCGCGCTTGCGGCTTCAGGAACGAGATCATCTACAACACCGTGGCTAGCGGCGTGTTCTTCTACCTTTACAGTGAGCGATCGTTGTCTTGCTGTTGACGCGCACACCTCTTGCTTGTCCGTTCGTGTGTTCGTGTTAGCCGAGGAGCCTCTCGTTCACTGTGTCGAATGTGTTGTCTAATTTTCTGGTTTTGTTGGAAAAGAAATCACGCCTCGGTTGTTGGAAGCCGTGTGCGTCCTCCGGCTAAAAGAAGGAACACGAAACCCCTCTACAGAAGCGGTACGGTTGTTTCGACGCGAAAGGTCACAAGGTATTGGTGTCGCCTCTCTCACGCCGGTCTTGGGCAGGAAGGACAGCGTGAGCACTGCACTCCCCCATTCCCAACAGACCCCGCGTGCCAGAGGAAGAAAATTACACGCAACCCAACTTTTGCATCTCCCTAACGCCCCCCCCCCCCCCC